TTAAGCTGCATCATTTTTCATTGTTGCAAAGTGTGCCAGGGGTCCCTGTGGATTGGAATGTGAAACAGCGATTAAATAAGCCTATACATTTTAGAACAAAAATTGATTTTGTTAATGCATGACATCACCCTCAGTACTACAGCCACGGAAGCAACACCTAGGACACAAGGGAAAGAAATGTGTTATTCTAGCAGGAACTAGGTACCATATCATGAGAACTTTGTGTGCAGACTCTTGAGAAGCTATGTTGCAGGAACATCTCAAAACCGAATCCCAGATTGTAGCCCAATCCTCAGGTAATTTTGTAGTAGTGCAGCGTTCAACTGAATCGAGCGCAGACATTCATTCAAAGAATGCCAACATAGATGATGTGTCTCGACCCTTAATGAGGGACTGTATCCAATATCATATTTGAACATAATGGAAAAATGATTTTATGGGGGTGGAGTTTGGAGACAATGGAGTCCCAGGGTAGTATTGTAAAATCATCATGAAGCCAGTGTCGTGGAGCCAGTGTCATGAAGCCAGTGTGTAACCATGGGCAGACCACCGTAGAGCCAAAGGAAATCTCACCGCTCTAATTCCTTAGCCACCATCAGGACTCCCCAGGTGCTGGTCCAATAGGTGTGTCTCCACCTTAGAATGCAGCAGTATACGAACAGACCGCACTATCCAGAGAATCCCAATACTGCAGACTTTATTAAAATTCACAGCAAATCCAGTATATCAGTGAAAAAGTGTATAAAGCTACAAATGCCAGCACTGCACACCCCCAACCAACTACAACCTCTCATGTTTCACCCGAAGACTTATTCATGGCAGACCACCACGTGAAGGCCAGAGTGTCTTTAATCGCAGAGGAAAACATGGGGTTACCCATGAGAGTGGTGAGGGGGAGGTGGGACGAAATCAAGAGGCTGGAAAACTTAACTGCATCCCATATCCTTAAAGTAGAAGAAGGGGGCTGTGTTAATATTAATCTGAGTCTCCTCTTTTCAAGAGTGAACAAGTTTCATGCATGCAGTCTTTCTTCATAGTTTAGGTCCCCAGTTTGAGAAGCCGGAGCCATCCTGGAAGGAGAAAGCAGACCAAGGGAAGCCAGGATACGGTGGGCCTCTTCTGAGATGACATGGCATGCGTTTTCCCACCATGCTAAAACACCAGTTTGAAGAGGTTTCCCCAAGCATATTTAATGTGATAGGATCGAAGGTCAAGTAGATAAGGTTTTGTGAGCCCTGCCCCTCTGAATAGTAAGCAGGCTGAGGTCAGAGTAGATCTCGTACCTGAATCCCTGGAGCTTCAGGATAGCGGTATCAAGATTGGATTGAAGATCAGTGTGAGAGTTAGCAATCTCAATGGTGTTGTCTACCTTGTGTTCCAAAAGGTCAGTACGATTGCTCAGGTCTTTGATCTCCTTAGTCAGGTTCACAGTGATTTCGTCTGTTGCTGCTTTCAGGTCATTCTGCAGCATCACCTTAACCCCTTCATGACCAGCGACCTACAGTGTACGTCACTGGCATCGGGCCTATTTAAACAGACCCTGTTTAAACTTGTAAAGCTGACTGTCGGCTTTACAGTTGAAGTGATTGTGGCGGCTATGCTTGCTTTCTTGGCTTCTTCTTCAAACCTAGGGTTCTTACCAAGTTGTTGCCCCAATCCTTGCCCTATTGAGGTCTCAGGGGGTCACATTGTGGGTTACCTGGACTACTTGCTCTTGAAAGCTCGCTCCGCACAGATGCTATGGGAGGATATCCATACGGCAATTTGTACAATGGAGCTTCTCGTTTGGGTTCTTAATCTACAGAAGTCTTTGGAGCCAATTCACAGACTGCAATATCTGGGTCTCCTACTAGATATGATCCAGGGAAAGGTGTTCCTTCCTCCAGGGAAGCTATGGGATCCGAGGTGTATTTTGCCACGAGGGAATGATGGTAGCCTCCTTTTGAGGTTGTCCCTTATGCTTTGTTTCACTCCAGGCTATTACAGGCTGCCATCTGAGTTGGCTTCTTCTGATCTGTTTGTTGGGCCTGTTAGTGGTTGTTTTGCTTTTGCCCTCCCCTCAGTGCATTGATTTGGCACGTTCCAATCTTCTTTGAATTGCAATCGTATATCAAGTAAAATACGATTTTTGACTTACAAGTAAAATCCATTTCTTGAAGTGCAGTACAGGACAGCACCTTAACCTCTGTGTCCCCCTATTGCTTGCTAAAAACTGAGGATTTCCTGGAGAGGGAGGTGTTATACGAGGGTCCTCATAGCTCTTAGCTCTAGCTAGTGTCCAATCACCTAGTGATACCTGTATATTAGTCGTCTCTGAATTCCCTGTGTCCTGTACTGTACTTCAAGAAACAGATTTCACTGAGAGTCAAAAATCCTATTTGATCACACGATCAGGCGAACCTGGTCTATTTTGTGTTTCTGTACCCCTTAAGTTATCCCTAAAACGTGCTGTTTGTTTTGTTTTTTATCACCATGACTTGGATCCAAGACCTGCCTTATGGTGCCTATACACTGCACGGTTCTCGTACGAGAATCGCGGGAAATCCCGCAATCGTATGAGAATCGTGCAGTGTATGGAAGGCGTGCAACCGTTTCTACTGTACGGTCGCACGTCTTCCGTCGAACCAGCAGGCTAGAAAACCCGCCGGGAATCGTACGATTCTCGGCGAGTTAGTGGCCTGCTTGTTCGACAACTGACGAACGTGCCGGTGTGCGCACGCGCACACAGCCGTTTGCCGTCCTCGCAAGCACGCCCCTCATTGCAGTCATCGCAAGTACGATCTGCCTGTCCAAGATGGGCAGATCGTAAGTTTTTTTAAGTACTTTACAACCATCGCAAGACTAAGGTCTTGCGATGGTTGTACAGTGTATGGCCACCTTTTAGATTTTTAATCTACCTTAAAATGCTCTTTTTATACCCAATCATGGTACTGACCTGTTGCCAATTAACCTAATTAGTTGCAAAAGTTGTTTCAGCTCTTCCTTGTAAAGGTGCCCACACACCTTACAATTATCTGCAGATTTTCTGTGGTCAGATGGAAAAAGTGCAACAGATTGGCCCAGGTGGAGATTACTCCATCCACACAGTTTAGCGTAGATGTAGGAATCTGTTGCACTTTTTCCATCTGACCACAGAAAATCTGCAGATAAATTGTAAGGTGTGTGGGCAGCTTTAGTAATACTTTGCCAGCATTTTGTTGCCCTGTCTTTTTTGAAACGTGTTGCTGCCATCAATTTCAAAATTACCTTATGTTGTTTCTTTAAATGGTCCATTTTCTTAGTGTATACATTGGATATGTTTTATATTTTGTATTGTGAATAAAATATGGGTTTATGAGATTTGCAAATCATTGCATTCTGTTTTTAGGTAGATTTTACACAGCGCTCCAACTTTTTTGGAATTGGGGTTGTACATACTGTATATATTATTCTTTTGGAAACATATCCCAACAACCTAATCCTAACACTTGGTTATCAATATTTGCATTTACAGATATATTGTCACAATTGCTTCTCGTTTTATATGTTACAAATATAACACAATTATATCAGACGTTAAATCGGCAGTCCATCCTCTTTTGCAGTAAACTAGAGCATATCCCACAAGGAGGGGCCAAGCCACAGGGCACCAAAGTGTTCAAGGTGCCGGTCTCACCCACATTTCAGGGTTTTTGTAGCAGTCTAAATAATATCCATATATACACTGCCTGTCCAAAAAAAAAGTCACACTCGACAAAAATGTCAAAACATTTATTTCTGTCCAGAGTGGCATTCAGTTTTTACCAAGATCTTGCAGTGATGATGGGAGAGTTGGACCACTACGTAAAGTCTTCTCCAACACATCCCAAATATTCTCAATGTGGTTAAGGTCTGGGCTCTGTGGTAGCCAAATCTATGTATGAAAATAATGTCTCATTCATTCTCCCTGTCATCTTGGAATATGCCAGACCCACACACACACAAGTGTACCAGCCAGATCTGGATAGCCACAATTGTTTCAAAGTCTATAACAACAACATATAACCCTTATCTGATGGCTGCATCAGTATTAATTTGAACATAATATATATGAAACAATTACATTTACCAGTTATGTTTATATTATTAACGCCAGTACAAGATCTATGCGGGTGCCATCTGATTCAGCTGAGAGGACAAATTGGGGCAATGCACATTGTGGCACACTAACTTGAAATGCATACCCCCCCACAACTGCTTTCACGACTCGCCAGATGTGGTAGGGTTAAGTGGGAGAGCTGCGGGTCTCTCCATCTGTCATGTATGGCATTTAGCCCCCCCGTTGGATTTGGGAGTTTGCAACAGTGAATTATAACTGGTAAAACTAAAAGCGATGAGAAGAGTGAAAAGGATGTGTATCCCGAGGTACATAGATACTTGCTTTTATAAATAGGAACATAATATGAAAGTATTAAACACTTTTCTAAGACAGAAGTGTTCATATTTTATTAAACTGTGACCCTGAATTTCAGTAGGTTATCACTTTTTTTAGGTCATGACTTTCACACTTGTATATGGTATTTTACTGGAACAATTAGACATAGCCATTAGTAGGATCTCTAACTATAGCCATTAGTAGGATCTCTAACTAGTTTCCTAGGCTCCCTGCCTAACAACATTTGAGCTTAAAATCTCAGCATCATAGTGGGGAGGTGGGAATACCTACGGGGAGTAGTGACTGACAGTCACCACTCTCTGCAGGGAGAAGTGAGCAGCGGTTTGTGAGCACTCAGTTCTCGAACTATAGAGCCAGTCTGTGACACCTGCAGTGTTACATGCTAGCTTAAACTATTGGGAAGAGCAAGAGTACATTTTACTCTCCAATTTGTTCTGCTTTAAGAACATGGGTACTTAAAAAACCCCGAAAAAAACTAAAACCCTGAAACGAACATTGCTGTACATGAGTATGTATACTGAGAGTGCATAAAATGGATTGAGCCAATTTAATCAATTTTTACCTGGGCATTTTTGTTTTATTGCAGGGAAAATTTATTAGCAGACTGTTTACAGGGGTGCTTTGTTGTTACATGCACACTCTGTGCATTTATAAGTCTTGTTTGGTTACGTGAGCAAATCATCCATGGTGGTGCTCCACAGTGGCTGGAGCAAAATCTTCCTCATCCTCTAAATGGCTTGGGGCAGCAAAATGTGGTAAGTTTTTTTTTTTTCTTTTCCTCCACCTTTAGGAAGAATGTTTTAGAATGTTTTAATTTGTATTTGATCTAATTATTGTCTAAAGAAATTTTCCCTTTTTATAAAGCGGGGACTGTCAATTTGAAAATTATCTGTCATCCCCAAAGAATATAACCATTCAATGAGCAGTAGAATTCATAAATAGTGAAGTGTTGCAAAAACACCCTACACAAACCATGAAGGCTCATTAACAATTTCAGAATATCCGTTCTCGGTGGATATCCTTTTTTGGTTTTATTTTCACATTTTGTACTGTGGAAAACCTGTTCAGTAGACATTAGGAAAGACATTGGGGGAATTTATCAAAATTGGAGCAGATAGAATCTGGAGCAGTTGCCCATGGCAGCCAATCAGCTTCTGTCTTCAGTTTGTTCAGTTAAGATTTGAAAATGAAAGAAATAAGCTGATTGGTTGCCATGCACAGCTGCTTCAGATTTTTTTCTGCTCCAGTTTTGATAAATCCCTCTCATTGTATTGGATACATTTTAAAATACATTTTGATGAATTAATCGTAACGGGAGCAGACAGAATCTGGAGCAGTTGCCCATAGTAACCAAAAAGTTTCTCTCCTCAGTTTTTAAGTTAAAAAATAAAAGATAAAAGCTAATTGGTTGCCATGCACAGATACCGTATTTGCCGGCGTATAAGGTGGGGTTTGAGACCCCAAAAAAGCGCCCGAAAATCGGGGGTCGTCTTATACGCCGGGTATACTTCGGTATACTGTATGTACTCCATTTTGTCTGCTCCAGGTTTGATAAATTCCCCCCATCAATTGTTTTACCTAAACCTGTAAGCTTTGGGAATACTTAGAGAACATGATTATATTAAACTTTTTTTTAAACAAAAGATATAGGGCAAAACTTGTCATAACTGTCAATTTTATAACTATTAACGTGGACAAAATGTTTAAATTTTTTAAACAAGCAGAACTTAAAAAAACAAGCTCCCATTCACCACGGTAGCTATAGGCCTTGTAGAGAAATTAATCTTCAATATTTATACCACAGGCACTAAAATCATAAAATGTTAGCACTATACCAGCAGTTATGGAATAGTGCTATCTGGCCAATGGGGTGCAAAGCAATCTTTTTAATGACTCTACCCACTGTCTTGAAATCCATATCTTTTGTCTGTTGTGAGCGAAGCATACAGTACCATTGTTTCCTTTTACCTTTTTTCATGTCACTTCTATCAACTCCACAGACGGACTGCACCAGGGAGAAAGATCCTACACGGGCGCTCAACTTGGCATGTTGTGCATCGTGTGGTGTTAACTGCAGGGTGCTATACAAGTCCAGGGCCATGGTCCATCTGCGAACGTAGACATGCCCTTGAAGACCCCCTAGGGAGCATGCCCACTGGGAGGGCAAAGTCAGCAAGGGGTGTTTCCCTAACACCCTGCTGCTGGATGATGAAAATCTGCAGTGAGAATTCCCTGGGTCCGGTGTACTGTGCTTTAATTCTGTAGGGTCTAGAGAAGCACAGGCTGTGACGGGGGTGCACTTTTTTCTTTGATTTGGTGTTGTTTTCCTTACAATTTCTCTTTGTTCATTAAAGAACACAGCTGACATCTTCATATTATGGAAGGGTTATACCGCCACCTGCAGAAGTAGGGCGCTGGGCATAAAACAACAAAGCACAGCTCTGGGGACGCCCCTGCTGGTGGCTCATCCTGCCATTTGCTAGAGGCAGCTTATTTTTTGTCAAGCATCCAGGGGCTGTGAGCAGCCACTCTGTATGCTGTGTGTTGGTTTTTCCCTTGTGGGCTATCGTCATCAGTGATGATGATTGCACACGCACCACGAGCTAGGTGTGGGATGGATGGCTGCTGCGGCTCTGCGCGCTAGTTCCTGGGGTGGTGAGCTACTGGGAGCTATATCCATTTATGCTGAGCGGCACACTTTTTGCTCAGTATTGTGGCATTGGACATGTCTGTTGCTGGGTGGATGGCCTGGTGCCGTGAGCTCATCTTTCTTCTCTTCATGTCAACCTTTTGGCTCCCCCCTTGGGCCCGTCAGATTTTCTCTTTTGTTCATTCAAGGACACAGTGAAGATCTTGAATCTCTTACCGATGGACTTATAGGCGCCACCTTCAGGAGTAGCCCACTGGGCACAAAACAAAAGGTCAGCCTAGGGGGCGGCCCCTGACTGTGTCAAAACCTCCTAATAGGTAGAGCCAGCTCAGTTTTTTGCCTGGTGTTAATGATTAAGGACCTAAGCTCCCTTCCGGAAATCTTAATTCCCTCTTTTTTTCTTTTTTTGCAGGGAATTCTTTTTTTTTTTTTCTGTCTTCAAGACTTTCAATCACCAACTGAGCTGCATGACCGGCTGGGTAATATAGATCCTTGTAGTCCCCCCAGCTTGCTGGACTTGCTTGGGCGATCTGAAGCCTTCTTCACATCAATTAAACCTCTCTCCTTGAAGTTCTTGATGATCCGATAAATGGTTGATTTAGGTGCAATCTTAGTAGCAGCAATATCCTTGCCCAAGAATCCATTTTTGTGCAAAGCAATGATGACTGCACATGTTTCCCTGCAGGTAACCATGGTTAACAGAGGAAAAACAATGATTTCAAGCACCACCCTCCTTTTAAAGTTATTCTAACTCAATCAGCAGGACAGAGTGGTCCCCAGCCTTGTCAACATTGACTCCCGTGTTAACGAGAGAATCACTGACATGTCGGCTGGTCCTTTTGTGGCATAGCTGAAAAGCAGGGGAATTTTTTTTTTGGGGTATTAAGTTCATTTTCTTGGCAAAGAGGGACTTTGCAGTTAATTACAAATGATCGAATCACTCTTCATAATGTGTATGTATGTGTGTATACAGTTGTGCTCATAAGTTTACATACCCTGGCAGAATTTATGATTTCCTGGCCTTTTTTCAGAGAATATGAATGATAACACGAAAACCTTTCTGTCACTCATGGGTAGTGATTGGCTGAAGCCATTTATTATCAATCAACTGTGTTTATTGCACGTTTGTTTATATGTGTGTGTGTGTATATGTATCTCCTACAAATGTCAGGTGGTCATAATAATCTGGCCACTCAGTGTGTGTGTGTGTGTGTGTGTATATGTATATATATATATATATATATATATATACACACACACACACAGTAACACTAATGCAGCACGTTATTAATCTCACGTGCTCCACTAAATATGGCCCCTGCCTGAGTGGGGCAACTCAGAATAATAACGTGATGGATTAGTGTGATCCTAGTTCATTTTATTACTTCATTGCTGTGCTGTATGTGTATAGGCCAATGCCTTGGAGTTTGGTCCACACTTGTGGGCACACTGACCAGCTGGGAAGATTGTAGAAGAAAGGTTCGATATCAATTGGCAGGCTGCACAGTGATGTTCCCTTTACATGTAAGTATAACCTATTTAAAAATTGATAGGGCAGAACAAGTTTCTTGGCAAACTCACCGGCCCAAGTGGCTCCGTTAGCAAGGGAAGGGGGGAGGATTCCGATGACGTCACGGACAGCAACGTCACCAGACTCCTCCCCCCTTCCCGTTGTTTGCCGACGAAGCCACATGGGGACATCGACGTCACCGGACTCCTCCCCCCCTTCCCTTTGTTAAAACTCATTACCATAAGACTGTAAATTCACTGCGTTGTAGGATTGCACCCCCTCCTCATACTTCTGCAGCTGTGATCCTCCACCTAAAATAAGACCTGTGGGGTCTGGTTGTTACAGCTTCAGAGAGGATGCTGATGGGAGGGAGCGATGGTCTGTGTACATATATATATGTGTGTGTGTGTGTGTGTGTGTGTGTGTGTGTGTGAAGGCTCCTCCAAACCATCCTCATTCTTTTTTTCTGTTCTCGCCATAGGACCGTGATAGCATAGGTCTGAATGTTGTTGTGTTTTTTTTCTCTTTTCCTTGATTGCTCCGATACCCTTATCGGCCAGGTCAGTCTCCCCTGTACTGAAGACCCTGCTATTATGGGCTTAAATAGTCCATACCCAGGGTAGGACATCGTCTCCTTGATATCCATGCGGCTGTGGTGAAAAGCTCTGCACCTGCCGACATGCCAGCTATTCCTCTGTGTCTCCTAGGGCCGTGCCTCTCCTCCTCTTATCTTTTCTTTCTATTGGATTGGGGCACGTCAGCGAGGGAGGCTCCGCCCATCGGAGGTTATCGGCGGTGACTGGCTTCTACGAGGCGAGTATGTTGTCTTGCGCAGGCACGGCATCTTGCGCTATGAATCGGGGATTCCAAGATGACGGCCGTTGGCTTCCGGGTCGCATTGTGCATGCCCCGGTGTCTTTAATTTTCGTAGTGATCATGCTCATGGCAGGCTGCTGCTTCCACCAGACGGCGAACGAGTGACGGACTGAGTCCTGCGGATCTTCCTTTGCCTGACCTGCTCCAGTAAGTTGTCTCTCTGCTTTATTGCACTATCTTCGTGACTATGTTTCCTATGTATCTGTGTGGGCTACCTTCTATACTGTCCCTTACTCTTTCTATAGGAATGGCTGAGAAAGCTGCCGTAGGGGATACCTCCTCTCTACTGAGGTAAAGGTATGGCGATGTGGCACCTTAAAGAGACAGTGAGGTGGGTTTCTCATGACAAATTGTTATGCTTTCAGCCCTCCTCACGAAGAGCACAGACAAACTTCTTCAAGATTGTCCTCACCCAGACGTAACAGGTCAAGAGGAAGGAGTACTTCACGTCGCAGCCACAGAGACTCCGCCTCTCATCGCACGCACCACCACCACCATCGCTCTGAGGTGAAAACGTGCTGGATGTGTGGTGACCAATCGCTACCTGGGAAAGTAATCTGCCAAGCCTGCCTATCTGAAACTACGCAGGGGGCACCCACTCCACCCACGAATACGCTGTCTCTCCTGGTACAGTCAGCTTAAGACGGTCGCCACGAGGGCGGGCAGGGTGGTCTTTCGGATGGTCCATCCACATCTCAGCAACCGACCAATGTGAACAA